CAAACAGACAGGTAACCAGAGATAAGTATACTTTATATCAAATACATCCTTCAAATTACGCTTCTAAAATAAGCGTTTACCTCTTGCTTAGAAATTTCTTGTTCATACATCCAGGAATGAATTGAATCAACCAATAAATCATTTTCCTCCACTCCAGGTCCAGTAATTATCTCAGTAAACCCTTCTCCAGGTCCAGTGATACTCTCAGTAAAACCTTCTCCGGGTCCTGTATTATTATCCAGGTCTTTAGTTCTACTATCTGAACCAGTAAAAACATCTCCAGGTTCAAAATCCTGAGCTTTAGTATCTACAAAATTAAAACCGTCTTTATATTTAAATTGAGAACCTTGTGTCAGTTCCAAGTTTGTTTCTCCTTTCTTGGTTGGGTTTAATTCTCTGTCCCAATTACTCCGGGGCATGTTTAATTCTCCATCCCAATCATTCATAGTTGGAGTTAATTTTCCGTCCCAATTTCTTCTGGTTGGGTTTAATTCTACGTCCCAACTGTTCTTGGATGGGTTTAATTCTCCGTCCCAATTACTCCTGTTTTGATTTAATTCTCCGTCCAAATTACTCCAGGTTGGGTTTAATTCTCCGTCCCAATTTCTTCTGGTTAGGTGTAATTCTCCATCCCAATTTCTCCAAGTTGGATTTGATTCCTCGTCCCAAAAATTCCTGCTTGGATTTGAATCAATTTCTTTCATAATTTGATCCCTTGTCTTTAAATCAGTCTCTTCTGTTTCCCCTTTATCCTCATATCTGTTTTCTTCCTGTTTATCATTGCTCTTCTCTTTAGGTTCCACTGTCTAAAAAATGGTTCCATGGCAAATTAGTGTTGATCGATTTTTAAAACTTCTCATTTTCTTGACATGCTGAATTAAAACTTAAAAAATTTAAAAATAAAAAAAATAATGAAACATTTAAAACAGTTAATTGCTAATGAAATAAGATAAAAAAGTGAAATATAAAAAATCTTGGCATATCTTGTGATTCCACCGATAATTGTTTGTCTGCGTAGAATAGTATAGTCAATCTTGAAATATTTTTTTATTACATAATTTATTTTGACGGTGGTTTGCTCATGCTCAATTCCAGTAATACATTGATAATGATAGATGTCTTATGACACTTTGTAGAAAAAAAAAAGAAAAAAAATTAGAGAGACAAAATTGCAATAAACTTACAAAACAAGTTTTTTTTAGTCTTTCTTCATTTATGTCAGGAATTAGGCCTTCTGATGCTAGATTGCCGAGCAGTGTTGCTAAAATATACCAGGGGGGGGGCCTCTTATAAGTTTGTATTTTTATCTTAATGATGATAATAAATTTATAACCTGAGCTTGTGAATACGAATGTTCAGAAGAAATATCAAAATCATTTCTAAAATAATTTTTGATAGCATAACTTGTTTTGTTTAAAAGAGATTTTTTTCATTTTTTTAAAGATATTTGTATTTGCTGTTAAAATTTAGTCAGGTTTTAAATTTTTTTCTTTCGTAAAAGGTGTTTTAAGTGACCCTTAGTTGCATGTTTGATTATTACTTTTTATATTATATTGTTTTGTCAATTTATCCTTCATATTAATTTTTGCAAACGCTCATTTCAAAGTGACTGTATAGGTGTAATTTCAAATGACCCTTTTAACCTTTATTTGAACTTTTTTTCTACTTGAAATAGTGTTCAATTCTGACAATTTTCTTCTTGGTCTCTGTCGCATAAATCTACTATTCAAATAGAAACCACAATTGGAAATAATTAATTTTTAAAGATAACAATCAGAATATTTGCATGATTTTTGCTCAGAGAAAGGTTTAAAGGGTCATACCTTCCTTTAAATCTAGGGGCACTTGAAACTACGCTGACATGTCCCTTTAAAGTTGATTGTTTATATTCCAAACCTTGGCTGCCTATATTGGGTAGAACTGGAAGAGTTCATATTTCAAATGTCACAATTAAACTGATAACTGGATGGTGCACACACATACAAAACTAAGGGTGGGGGGGGAGAGGGGAGTTAACTCCTGGTATTTAATACTTGATAAGACTATTTAGTCATTTGAAATTTACATTTGTTATCAATTATTGCAATAATGCACAATTTTGAAATAAAATAATCTAAAATTAATTTTTTTGTTTTTAATTACGTCAATTAAAAATGTCGGTGCAAAGTGATATGAACATTTAACGTACTTTTACTCTCGTTTTGATGATTACCATCCCTTGCCTTAGTATTTACATATACTGTCTTTAAAATTATCCAAGGTTAGTCATCCAAATTTTTTTTTTAAACACTTTGCTTGCCTTTTCCTTTCCCTTTTTTTGTGCATATTTTCCCTTTAAGGAACTGTAGACGTAATTACAAGGGATCCTTCATTTTAAAAATGGCCTGCCATTCTTAAAATTAGCATGAATGTGCAGGGAGACGAGAATTAGAGAAAATTGAGATGGAAGCCCTTGTTAGGCTGATCTAAAATTTAATTTTAAAAATATTTTACCGTCAGGGAATAACAGGACGAATTGTAACCAGACATTTATCACGGACTAAAAATTGTTTACATGAGAAAGAAAGCGATTTTTTTTTGTCAGTGATTTAAAACCTTCGCAACATCAATGTTTAACGTCGCAGATAATAAATTGTTTACTTCGTGAAATAACAGATTTTTCATCCGAAAGTTAATGATTAAACATCCTTTAATTTTCAGACTTTTAATACGTAATTATAGCGACAGTCCGTTCTGAGTCTGTTTCATTTGAAAGGAAACGCTCAGTTACAGTTCTTTTCACCAACATTAGGATACAGATCATGAATGTCTTAATTCTTTATATGATTACTAATAGGAAATATATTGTCATTTTTTATCTTAGAAAAGTTTAAAGAGAAAAACAGACATATTTCTATAATTTTTATTGCCACACAAAAGCATAAAAAGTACAGTTTTGAATCAGACTTGGCCTTTTTTTTACCCATCTTCCTCCCTTTGAAATTACCCCTCCTCCTCTTTCTCTCCACACATCCCCACTCCCCTTTCTCTCCAACGCCCCCACCCGTCCCCCCTCCTCCTTTCTCTGTTGAATTAATTACTGTGAAGATCCAAAGTTGTCAATTAGCTTCTCCATCTAGTTCTAATTAGGTTTAAGCTGACTACAGTTTCAAACTATATTAAAATATATTATAGACAGTCCCCCCCCGTTCCACTATATTCTTGATAGAAAAGTGCATCGATTTTGTAAACGCAATTTTTTATTAATTATGGTTTTTAGAAAAAAAAACGACTTGGATCGTTCAAAGCAATGAACAAACAATTGTTTTTAAAAAAAACGATAAAAAATAAAACGAACGCTTTGAAATCCTTCGAACGAAATTTTAAAAAAACGACAGGTTTTTTTAACGAATGAACAAACTTTGTTAAACAAACGATTTTACAATCGCTCAGTGAGACAAACCAGATGAAAAGTAATCGATAATTTTGAGAACGAACGAAGTAAATATTTGTTAAACGATTAAAAACAAAAACGAACGAAATGGGTTATTCATGGCCGATGAAGGATCGAAATGGGTCATTCACAAACGATAAACAAACAAAATGGGTAATTTATGAACGATGAACGAACAAAATGAAAAAAGCGCGCCCATCTTTAGTTTTGGAATCCAACAAAGTAATTAGCTATTTCTAAAATATTTATTAGGATAATTAACATAATCCATGACCATAGAGACCCAGATAGCTATGCAAATTGTGCACCAACTTTTAAGACGGGATTGAATTCCTTTTAAGTGTATATTAACGCCTTCATCTTTGCTTTATCTAAATATTCTCGCCACCCTTCATCCCCCAATTCGTATCATTATGTTTCATTTTTACAATTTTTAGTAAATTTTTCACCAAATTATTAATTTAATTATCTATTAATCCTGGATCTACCAAATTAGGAATTATTTCTAAAATATTCATCAAAATAATTAATTATGTAAGTGTTAAATTTACTCTTTAGTTAATAAGCGACATGTCCAAGTCACATTGCACCCTCAAAACCGAAAAAAAAGATTGTGAAAGTGTCCCCGCTTTTTCATTTTAAATTTGATTGTTTTAAAATCCAGCTCTCTGAAGCATGACATTATACCTCTTCAGAAAATGATGACATCTATATATACTTTGCTTGTCTGGGTGTCTGTTTGTTTGTATCCAATAAACGTCAAAACGGCTGAACCGATCGGGCCCAAAATTTTTAACCCCACGAACCCCTATGGGAAGGTTACTGAATGGCCAAAATTTTAAAAAATTTTGTTGAAAAGTTTTTTATTTTTTTAATTTGTATAATGCGCGAAAAATTATTATGTACTTTTTTTGTTTTTGTTTTTTATTGAACAAAGAGGATCGAAGATACTCACAGTTGAAATAGAAGATGGGCGCGAAGCGCCCTAAAAGCCTAGTATACATTTTTAGTCTGAAAAAGTGGTGAATAGTACCGTTGTGATCGGAAATGTAAATCTTTGAATGCATGAAATTGCGTAAAAAGTCCCTTTAATGCACACATTTTTTTACAGTGCACAGATTACGATTTTCTTTTTCTTGTTAGTACAGTACCATAAATAGATATTTAATCTGATATTATCTATTGACATGCAGTAGTCAGTTCTATTTTAATTAGTTGAGATTAATTTGATCTTTGGATGTTGTTAATTAGTCAAGTTAATATAATCTAACTTTGTTAATTGTAATTCTTGAGAATGTTCAAGGAACAGACAGTGTTAACCTTATCAAGAAGGGGGGGGGGTTGTCGACCGTGTCAGCACCCCCCCCCTTTTTTCGTTTGTTTGTCACATGTTTAAATTAGAAAAATAGTCCAATCAGTATTGGGTTAAAATATATATATAAACACATATTGAACAATGAATATTGTATTTATAAGAGATAAACACTAAATATGCAACAAATAAGAAATGTGATTAAAATAAAATCCTAAATTTATTTACAAAAATTTGTTTTTATCCGATCCTGTAAAAGTTAAATACAACCCTAATTCAGGGACAGGCAGAATAATCAATGTACAAACAGACACTTACTGTTAGCATAAATGATGATTGGTCTGTACTCAGATGTTTTATTTAATATCTGTCAACACAGTAGTTGATTAATTGGTATCACAAGTGTTACTTTAATACTAGTTATTGCTGGATCTCTAATATCTGTAAAATTATATCATAAAGAACAAATAAAACAAAGTGCTGGCACCAATGAAAACACATTATCCAATCTATATACATACTTTGCTTGTCTGTCTTTCTGTTTATATCCAATAATCGTTAAAACTGCTGATTTGATCGGGCTTTAACATTTGTTGTGGTATCTCGCATGACCCTAGGGAAGGTTTATGGATGCTAAGAACAACAAAAAGTTGTATCCTAAAGCTTTTAAAGTTTTTGTGAATTTAAAAAATGCGAGAAAAAAAATAGTTTAAAATCTGCGAACTTACTTTGTTTTTGTTTTATACTGTACTAAGAGAAAATGCTCACAAATAGAGCTACAATTAAAAGTTAAAATAGAGGATGCACACAAAGCGCCCTAAAGCCAATGTTAGAAACGCGGCAGGAGACAATTTAATACTTATAATTAATTTTTTTTATTATTTATTACTCCCTGTGTAGAATGTTGATCAACTTTACAAGTGTAATGTTTTCCTTTTGTGTAATACATATTATAAGAGGTTCAAAATGTTGACTATAGTTTCAGTAGAGGCCACGTCGATATATTCCATGAAATTAAACCATTAGGTATATTGTCATGTACATTATATTGTATAATTGGGATGTGTTCTTTTCTCAATAGCTTCTTCACTTTTCAATTTAAAAAATTTTTATGTTTAAATTCTGAATATATATGTAACGATCTAGGTCCCGATCAATCTCCTGATACTTGACTCTAACTCTAATAACAAGCCTTTACTGACTTTATCTGTAGCCAACCCGGGCTCTTTACGTCTGTCTAAAACAACGATTCGCACTATACTAATTTATTGATACAGGTAGATATAGATTGACCGGACTGGCCGGTCAGGGTCAAATAGAAACATAGATAATAGATAAGCAATTATAGATAAAAAAGATAGTAAACTAAACATAATCCCCTGAATTTATTACATATATCAAGTATAATCATGTATCTAACAGCCTGTATCGTGTATCATCATGTATCTATCTGTCTATATCAAGCATCATCATGTATCTATCTGTCTTTTTTAAGTATATTCATGTATATATCTGCCTGTATCAAGTATCATCATGTATCTATCTGTCTATATCATGTATCTATCTGTCTATATCAAGTATCATCATGTATCTATCTGTCTGTATCAAGTATCATCATGTATCTATCTGTCTGTATCAATATATTCATGTATATATTTGACTGTATCAAGTATCATCATGTATCTATCTGTCTATATCAAGTATTATCATGTATCTATCTGTCTGTATCAAGTATATTCATGTATATATCTGCCTGTATCAAGTATCATCATGTATCTATCTGTGTATCATCATGTATCTATCTGTCTATATCAAGCATCATCATGTATCTATCTGTCATTATTAAGAAAAAAGATATATATATCAACCTGTATCAAGTATCTTCATGTATCTATCAAGTATTATCATGTATCTATTTGCCTGTATCGTGTATCATCATGTATCTATCTGTCTATATCAAGTATCATCATGTATCTATCTGTCTTTTCAAGTATATTCATGTATATATTTGACTGTATCAAGTATCATCATGTATCTATCTGTCTGTATCAAGTATCTATCTGTCTGTATCAAGTATTATCATGTATCTATCTGTCTATATTCAGTATCTTTCTGTCTGTATCAAGTATTATCATGTATTTATCGGTCTATATCAAGTATTATCATGTATCTATCTGTCTGTATCAAGTATTATCATGTATCTATCTGTCTGTATCAAGTATCTATCTGTCTGTATCAAGTATTATCATGTATCTA